ACCTCAATTAGCGATTTTTCGTCGCATTGCTATCACATTCTTCGCACGAACCTTTAATATAGAAAAGTATAGCCTAAATCCATCCCATCGAATTTAGATGATTTCATAGGTATTTCGTTTTTACCGATGAACAGTCTGATAATCTGTCAAAGAGGTGTCTTCCTAAAAATCTATTTCTTCTAAACGTCAAAGACGGGCATTACAGACAAATTATTGTGTGGTTTCTTTTTCGTACAGGTTTCCATACGTTCTACAATGAAGATTATGAGGAATACGCAATTTCTCTGCATGAATTCATATACATCAATGATTAGAAAGAAGTGCAGTAAACCTTGCAGTATTTTCGCTGACTATTTTGATGAGTTCCGAGGATCTAATTTTATTATAGGTGGGCCATGTTCACTTGAAAGTTGCACATGACTTATATATTGCGGGACGTTGGGGCAGCGTACCGTTCAACAACTGGCCCCACTGAAGTGAAGGTAAACCACGAAATGACTTAGGTCCTTTTTCGTCCTTCGATTCTTGGATGTCATTATTGAGTTAAAGCTAGAGTGGCTTCCGTTCGCATAACTCATGTCTTGTTAATGCAAGCAGCTCATTTGGCTTGATGTTGTCTGCCAAGTCATCACCAACCCAATGGTGTCCCAAGATAGTATTCGTTCTGCTTGCCAGTGCTGGACATTGACACAATATATGCACCGCTGTCTCTTTTTCTTCTGGACATAGTCTGCAAGGGTCTTCCTCAGCAAGAGTTAACTTTTTGAGGTGATACTTGTAGTACCGCACCGTTCCACGTACCGTAATCAATGAGGGCAGCCAGCCTTTTTGACTCCATATACTTTTGTCATAATATTTTGATAGGACATTTGCTGTGTTAGAACTCGGTAGTTAATGGAATTATTTGGCAAATTTTAATATTAACTCACATCATAAAAGTTAAATTATTTTTTATTTGTTTTTAAATTAAAAAGTTAGAAATAATTTTGGCGCGTGTTTTATTTTATTTTTTAATTAATTCTAATTTTTTTTTGTATTTTCTTTCGATTTCCACTCATTAATTTGTGCGTAGGCGGAAGTTTCCATTCGTTTGGTGATTTTATCTACGAAACGCACGTGAGCGTGCAGCCATTCAAATAATTACAAAAATGTTTGTTGCACTTGCACATTCGCCGGCAACATGTTTACAAACAAATCAGCTACTGTTGCAGTTGTGTTGTTGTTGTTGTCAATGCTCACTTTTAAAATTAGAATTACTTTCCACTATAAAAGAAACGCAATGCACTCTTAATGACTTCAGTGCCTTTGTTTTTGTTGCTTTCGAAGGGTTTTCAATTGTTTACGTTGAAGTACAGAAATCGCTCGCTTCTGGCATGTAGCAGTGGCAGTGGCGAGATACAAGATACAAATTTGGAAGCGTATCTATTATTAGATCTCGAAGTATTTAGGAAGGCTAATGAATATGTGAAATATTTATATTTAATTGCCTTGATGTGCACACAAAACGCGCACATTATTGCTTTCTAGTTTCGCTTTTTTTTATTTTTATGTAGTAAACAATGCTTTCAGTTCAGTTATGTTTTGTTTTTATTCTGGATTCACATTCAATAGATAAACAAATTACAAATATACACAGTAAAACATTCAACGAAGTGAAGTAATTTTTGGAGAAAATTAGGGTAAATAAAAACTTAACAAAATTTACCAAAAATTATAAAACTTAATAGTTCTTGATGGAGAATTCGAAAAGCATTTAAAATTAAATATTATTTGTAATTGATTTTAAACTCAAGTGAGTGAGAAATTAATTTTTAACAAACAATAGAAGTCCTTTTATAAGTTAAATACATTTTATTAAAACGATTCCAACTAGTAATGTTCAGAAATTATAGTTTATATAGCTTTTTGTAGCTTATAATAAAGTTTATTATATTAAAAGTTTCTCTACACAGGAAATTATATTACTCATTATTTAAGATTGGTTATGTCTATCGTTGGCTTCAAACTTTTGTTTTTACACGTCATTAATAGGTCCTAAGAAGCTCTGAAAACTGTTGTTAGTAGCTCTGAATTAGATCAGTTTAAGCTAGATTAAGCTAGGAAAACTTGATGCATCTACTATAGAACCTCCTGTTTTAATCCCTGCTCCAGACTTTCTGCAGACGAAAAAGTGTATATATCAATTTTTTTTGACAGACAAAAATAAATTAGGTTCAAATTTCTTCAGTAACCAGGTCAAGAACCACATTGACTTTTTACTCCAAATGTAAAATCGCCAACTTAGTACATAGAAGAAAATTTCAAGTATCTAAAATAATATTTGTCTTAATGGGACACTGAATTATAGAACAGCATTTCAACCTTGACCTGCCCTGTCGAATCTCTTGTAGCACACGACTACTATAGCTCGAAGAGAAGATACTGAATTGTAATGTGCCTATTCTTCTACCTATAACTTTGAGAAATGTAAAATGAAAACCGCTTTCCTAGCGGATTGAGAAAGGTTCGATCCTCCTTCAATTAGTTGCATTTTCCAACCGGATGCTGTGACCCAAATATCAGCGGAGGTGTTAGACAGGCCTCACTTTTTACCAAGAGGGAAGTTATGTCCAAACACATAACTTCAACTGGTATCGGCGGAATTCCTCGAAATTTCAATGTGACGTTCATCGGTTCAATATACCGATGCATGTGTAAAGTATTAAGCAATCACGGCAGTTATACACGTCAACTTCTAGACCTTCATCCTCTTATTGTTTACTTATGCATGGATCCTTGTTGTATTGCCCTTAACAAAAAGTGGCATTGGATTTCTTTAAAGAGTGCACCGAAGTAAGAACACGGTCAATTTTCCTGTTATGATATATTTGAATTTTGAACATTGCAATTTATAAAAAGTGATATTGTTTTTCTTTAGTGCATTAAACCGAAATAAAAACAAGCTTTGATATGACAGTATCGAATCCACTTCATTTAGTCTAATGAGGTCTACTTTGCTGAGATAAAGTCCTGTTACAAACGAATTTGATCGGTGTGTACAATTCGAAGAAATTTGCTGTTTATGTATGTTCTGGTTTATTTTGAAAAAAGTGATGACCTAAATAAATTTATTTAAATAAAAAGTCTAGCTAATAATGGTAAAAATGCTGAATGCTCTCTGTTTCGTTTTCTTTTAGAGTGGCAATATATCCAGGCGCTATTTCCATACCTATATATTTCAATACTTTCACCTAATTTCAGTATTCTCACTTTAAATTTTTATTCGTTCTTCTTCGATTAATTAATTTGATTAAAAATCTTTCATATAGATTTTCTGATATCACTGTTTTCTGTCTTCAATTTGCTGCATTTTGTGTGTTTCACTCAGGTAAGTGTTTTAAGCAAAATGAAAGATATTTATACA